CATACCCCGAGAGCATCTGGTCAGCGCGGCGGTGGCACAGGAATCCTCATCTCTCCCAAGTGGACATTCTCTCTTTTCCCCCTGACCCATCTGTCTATCTCCTCATTTGAATTCCATGCTGTCACAGTCACTAGCCCATTCAAGCTTAACATCCTTGTCATTTATCGCCCTCCAGGTTCCCTTGGAGAGTTCATCAATGAGCTTGACGCCTTGATAAGTTCCTTTCCTGAGGATGGCTCACCCCTCACAGTTCTGGGTGACTTTAACCTGCCGACGTCTGCCTTCGACTCATTTCTCTCTGCCTCCTTCTTTCCACTCCTTTCCTCTTTTGACCTCACCCTCTCACCGTCCCCCGCTACTCACAAGGCAGGCAATACGCTTGACCTCATCTTTACTAGATGCTGTTCTTCTACTAATCTCACTGCAACTCCCCTCCAAGTCTCCGACCACTACTTTGTATCCTTTTCTCTCTCGCTCTCCTCCAACACTACTCACTCTGCCCCTACTCAGATGGTAATGCGCCATCGCAACCTTCGCTCTCTCTCTCCCGCTACTCTCTCCTCTTCCATCCTATCATCTCTTCCCTCTGCTAAATCCTTCTCCCTCCGGTCTCCTGATTCTGCCTCCTCGACCCTCCTCTCCTCCCTTTCTGCATCTTTTGACTCTCTATGTCCCCTATCCTCCCGGCCGGCTCGGTCCTCCCCTCCTGCTCCGTGGCTTGACGACTCATTGCGAGCTCACAGAACAGGGCTCCAGGCAGCCGAGCGGAAATGGAGGAAAACTAGACTCCCTGCGGACCTGTCATCTTTTCACTCCCTCCTCTCTACCTTTTCTTCCTCTGTTTCTGCTGCTAAAGCCACTTTCTACCACTCTAAATGTCAAGCCTCTGCCTCTAACCCTAGGAAGCTCTTTGCCACCTTCTCCTCCCTGCTGAATCTTCCCTCCTCCCTCTCTGTGGATGACTTCATCAACCATTTTGAAAAGAAGGTTGACGACATCCGATCCTCATTTATTAAGTCAAAGGACACCGCTGGTCCTGTGCACACTGCCCTACCCTATGCTTTGACTTCTTTCTCCCCTCTCTCTCCAGATGAAATCTTGTGACTTGTGACGGCCGGCCGCCCAACAACCTGCCCACTTGACCCTATCCCCTCCTCTCTTCTCCAGACCATTTCCGGAGACCTTCTCCCTTACCTCACCTCGCTCATCAACTCATCCTTGACCGCTGGCTATGTCCCTTCCGTCTTCAAGAGGGCGAGAGTTGCACCCCTCCTCAAAAAACCTACACTCCGATGTCAACAACTACAGACCAGTATCCCTTCTTTATTTTCTCTCCAAAACTCTTGAGCGTGCCGTCTCTAGCCAACTCTCCTGCTATCTCTCTCAGAATGACCTTCTTGATCCTAACCAGTCAGGTTTCAAGACTGGTCATTCAACTGAGACTGCTCTTCTCTATGTCACGGAGGCTCTCCGCACTGCCAAAGCTAACTCTCTCTCCTCTGCTCTTATCCTTCTAGACCTATCTGCTGCCTTTGATACTGTGAACCATCAGATCCTCCTCTCCACCCTCTCCAAGTTGGGCATCTCTGGCGCTGCTCACTCTTGGATTGCGTCCTACCTGACCGGTCGCTCCTACCAGGTGGCGTGGCGAGAATCTGTCTCCGCACCACATGCTCTCACCACTGGTGTCCCCCAGGGCTCAGTTCTAGGCCCTCTCCTATTCTCTCTATACACCAAGTTACTTGGCTCTGTCATATCCTCACATGGTCTCTCCTATCATTGCTACGCAGACGACACACAATTCATTTTCTCCTTTCCCCCTTCTGATAAACAGGTGGCGAATCACATCTCTGCATGTCTGGCAGACATATCAGTGTGGATGTCGGATCACCACCTCAAGCTGAACCTCGGCAAGACGGAGCTGCTCTTCCTCCCGGGGAAGGACTGCCCGCTCCATGATCTCGCCATCACGGTTGACAACTCCATTGTGTTCTCCTCCCAGAGTGCAAAGAACCTTGGCGTGACCCTGAACAACACCCTGTCGTTCTCTGCTAACATCAAAGCGGTGACTTGATCCTGCAGGTTCATGCTCTACATTCGCAGAGTACGACCCTACCTTACACAGAAAGCGGCACAGGTCCTAATCCAGGCACTTGTCATCTCCCGTCTGGATTACTGCAACTCGCTGTTGGCTGGGCTCCTTGCCTGTGCCATTAAACCCCTGCAACTTATCCAGAACGCTGCAGCCCGTCTGGTGTTCAACCTTCCCAAGTTCTCTCACGTCACCCCGCTCCTCCGCACACTCCACTGGCTTCCAGTTGAAGCTCGCATCTACTACAAAACCATGGTGCTTGCCTACGGAGCTGTGAGGGGAATGGCACCTCCTTACCTTCAGGCTCTGATCAGACCCTACACCCAAACGAGGGCACTACGTTCATCCATCTCTGGGCTGCTAGCCCCCCTACCTCTGCGGAAGCACAGTTCCCACTCAGCCCAGTCAAAGCTATTCGCTGCTCTGGCACCCCAATGGTGGAACAAGCTCCCCTACGACGCCAGGACAGTGGAGTCACTGACCACCTTCCGGAGACAGTTGAAACTCTACCTCTTTAAGGAATCCCTGGAATAGTAATCCTTCTATCCCCCCTTTACTACCATTGTCTTTTGTCTAAACTAACACCTGACTTATTTCACCTGCTAGCACTGATTTGTTTAAAGAAATGTACTTATTGTGATCGATATGTAGTTGTCCCTGATTGCACTGACTTTTCTCACAGCTGCTTGTTTGAAGAAGTGTACTTACTGGGATCAAGATGTGGTTGTCCCACTGGCTATCCTAAGTTGAATGCACTAATTTGTAAGTCGCTCTGGATAAGAGGGTCTGCTAAATGACTTAAATGTAAATGTAAGACTCGAGGCTGTAATCGCTGACAAAGGTGCTTCAACAAAGTACTGAGTAAAGAGTCTGAATACTTATGCAAATATGATATTTCCGTTTATTACTTTAGAAAAATTTGCAAACATTTCTAAAAATCTGTTTTCGCTTTGTCATTATGGGGTCTTGTGTGTAGATTGATGAGGGAAAAACAAACAATTTAATCCATTTTAGAATAAGGCTGTAAAGTAACAAAATGTGGAAAAAGTCAAGGGTGTCTGAATACTTTCCGAATGCAGTGTATGTTGTTGTCGAGACTAACCTTCACTATGGAGTACTTCCTGTTGATTTCATTTCTAAGGATGGCGCACAAGGTTCTGCAGACCAGAGACAGGTTCCAGTAGCCTCTCTTCCTGGCCACACACAGCACGTCCTGGAAGATCCACACCAGCTACTCCAGAGGAAGCTACAAAGACAAAGTTAATTAAATGGTTTCCATATTGTATCTGTATATACTGTGGATCAGGTGCTGGTCCTAAACAATCAGGTTGGCCCCCTAAGCAGTGGTGTTATATATAAAAGTATAGGAAAGTCACTAGGTAGGCTACATGTCCAAGTCTAGAAGACATGTATAGTCTATTATATGAATGTTAATCGAAACATTCTCTTCAGTAGCATCATGCAAGCAGAATCAAAAACAAAGAGTGAGCAGTTTCAAATCTGATATTATGAAAGCAGGAAGGTGATGTTCTGCCTGTTCTATGTGAGATAAATCTACAGATACTGTATTTACCTCCAGGAGATGAGGTTTTCCCAGACCATGGTACCTGTGGGGATTCTGGGAATAAAGAAGAGGTGAGTGAGTAGCTTGGTTCTAGAGTGCTGGTGCACATCCTAACCTGTTTAGCCTACTAAAAACATAGTCAGAATGGAAAGGAATAAACCATTATCTGATTTAATTGTATGGGTTCTAATTCTATTAATTTTAATTCTGGGACTCATAAACTCATTGTAACTTTGAACAGACAACGGTATTCCTAGGCTGAATATTATGGAAAGTGTAAAATGGTATCAAGATAGTTCAATAAAGCCCTCTATAAACCCAACCATAATAAATCCTCTATAAAGCCAACCATTGACATCCTACCATTCCAGGTCAGCACTCTCGCCTTGCAACTAATGGGTCGCCAGGTCTGTTTCAAGGGCCAGGAGTGCGGTGGCGCCCTGGGAACCTGTGGCTTTGCTCTTCTGCCATGTCAATGTCCAGAAAGTGACAGTCATCGTTGCGCTCTTCCATGCGCCTTCCTCCTCCTCTTCCCTGAACCTTCATCCTCCTCTTCCCTGAACCTTCCTCCTCTTCTCTGAACCTTCATCCTCCTCTTCTCTGTGTCCAGGTACGAGATGAGCCGAGCAACGATCTCTCGACCACCAACAGGCCTTGCTCACCAGGCACCTGTCCAGAGCTTCCTGAATTCTTAATTACTGTTCTTTGGTTCACCACTGCACCAATACAAATTCATGAGGCTGTTTAAAATCTTCACCTGTAATAACTTAAACATTATCAATCCACTCTGGGCCAAGCATCAAGCCAGATGAACTAATACACAACCACTACACACAGAGGGTAGCATTCAACGTGGAAACAATCCAAACTGTTAAAAACACATGGACCCAGTATTCATATGAAAACCCCAGTAATGTGGACCCATTCCCCTTAAAACTAAGGCAAGGAGTTTTTCCCTGTTCTGGTCACTTGGTGAGGAAAAACTCCTGGCCCTGCCTATAATTACACCGGGCGGAGTTAGGTTAGGATTGGGGAAGAGGATCTGTACCTAGGGGAATCATCACCCTGGAACACTTAGGGCAGCCCAACGTCCTGTGGCCTGCCGCCAGTGTGGACGAGGAGGTGCCTCTTCATATGACTGGACTGGGTGAAGCACTTCCCGCAGTAGACACAGTGAAATGGTTTCTCTCCAGTGTGCACCCTCTCGTGCATCTTCAGCTGGTGGCTGTGGGAGAAGCGCTTGGTGCAGTGGCTGCAGCCGTATGGTTTCTCCCCCGTATGGACCCGCATGTGACTCCGCAGTTGCGCCGGCTGGGGGAAGGGCTTTCCGCAAAGAGTGCACCGGAGCTGCCTCTTGGTGGAGTGAGACGTCAGCTGTTGCGGCTGCTTTTCTACGCCTTTTGATGAAGAAGTGGAGCCTCTGTTGACATTCGGAAAGGGTGCTTGCTTCCCTCTTTGGGGAACCTGTTGGAGAGTAACCCTTGGGGATGAAAAGCTGTTTGGGGTGGACAGTCCGTTGAAATCTGGCAACTTGGACCTTGATCCTACAGTTGTCCCTTGCTCTGTGTTTTGAGTGTCAGTGGGACACTTTGTCTGTCCAGACTCCATTCCCCCTCTTCCTCTGTTGTCCACAAGCTGCCTGCCCTCTGAACAGACCTCTCCAGATGTCACCTCTTGACCCGTTATGCTCCATTCTGAACTCATATCTGCCTCCACTTTAATAGGAACCGAGTCCACCAGCACCACATCAGGCAGCCAGTCCAGAGAGCCCAAAGCAGACATGCAGACCCCAGAGTTACCAGGTGCCCCTCTCCTCTCTGGATGTTCAGACAGCCTCTTGGAGTCTGGCCCTGCATTGTGAGGAGCATTCACAGTTCGGTTGTCAGTCTCTTGGTTCTCTGTCCATTGGGACAGGCTGTATGCTATGGGTTGATGGTCGGTTTCCCAGGTCACACACTCAGCACCCTGATGGTCCTGTGTTGCTCTGTTGTATGGTGACGCTGGATGCTGGAACGTCTGATTTTCAGGTTCTATATTGAGTGTGGTGTCTGGAGCTCTGTGTCTGTTGCCCTGCTGGTCCAGAAGGTCTGTGGTTTCAGTAGATGACGAAGCACCTGGTTCTGCCACAACAATCTTCTCACTGGTCTCACTGACCGGTTGGACAATCTCTGAAATGGGGCAAAGTAAAGCACAACATCAGCTTCCTGTAGTGGAGACTGATTCTTCTTTGCCTTATTTATTAGTTATGACTAAGAAGTTAATCAAATACGGCAACAAACATTGAAGGCTTTACTGAACAAAAGTGTAAATTGCAAGAATTTGATTAGTTGTATAAAAATACCTTCTGTTCTACTGGTGTCAAGGTTCTCCATTTTGACAAGAGTTTCCTCTTGCATATCTGCCATCTGTGTTTTGTATTTATGAAAAACATTTTATTAAAAAAATATCCCACCTCCATTTGAAATATGAGAAAACAAATAATCAATTTGACCATGTCTATGACAACTGACCTGCATGCCCCCATCCTGGTCTGTCGCTGTGCGTCCTGAGTCTCTCCAGTTGGTGACATCCTGCATAAAGTTGCCCCCTTCACTGTCGGCAAAACGATTCTCCACTGCACCAGAAAAGAGAAACCCTCATAAACGATATATATTCTACACTAATCATTATTTTGAAAGTGTTGAAATAATGTAAAAAACCTACAATAGCCAAGTCTGCCTGATGACTTTCCAACGAAGCGCTCTCTTGCATGGGAAACCAGATCGGTGTCGCGCCTGTGAACTGTGCGTCGCAGGGCTCCGAATCTCTCTGCGCTCCGTTGAGAACTCTGGTATTTTGTCAAAAGCAGCTTCTTCCGCAGGTTATCGATTTCTTTCTGGCTATTGGAAATTTCCAAACGTAAGGCAACATGGCCGTCATCTACAAGTTTGCAGATTTCGGCAACTGCTGCATTCGCCAAAACCTCAATGATGGAGGCTAGCTGAGCATGAAAGGCGGCGGTATCGCACATGTCCTTGGCGCTATGTCAATGCTAAACACTTACTTATGTTATAGTAAATTGCAGTGTTCAGTCAACCTCTTGAGAAATCACAGGTCACACCATAGACGGTATGCTACACACAGCAATGTTTTCGTTCCGGAAACAAAAAAAATTACGGCTACTTCCTGGATCGTTTTTCAAAATAAAGGTTGGCTTCTCAAAATAAAGGTTGGTTACACACACGACTTATGTTAGTTCCACCTTCCATTCCCACCTGCTGCTGTCATATTGTAGCTGCTACTAAAAGGAATCAAATTTTTAAAAATCAGCCTATTTGACTTTCAGTTAAAAAGTGTAAATTAAGTTTGATTTTAGTTGAATGATGATGTAATGATCAAACAGTACAGAGTATCGTAGGAAACTCACAGGTCTCCTGTTGAAAGTCAGATAGAAACGCAAATATTATTTTGGCGTTATGCAGTGCATCTTGTCAGATGCCCTGTCGTTTTCCCTGCTGCAAACACATTCATTGTTTGTTGTGGTCCGTCATAATATGCAGTCCGTTTAGAAACGAGAGAAAATAAATCATGGTTCTGCAAATTTGTTGTTGCTTTCTTTTTTGAAGACTTGCTGTTGTGGTGGAAGGGAGGAACTAATATGGAAGTAGAACGTTTTAGGTTATTATTTGGGGGGAGAAATATGATGGTCTCTTAAAAATTATTTTTTGTGGTATTTGAAGAACTATGTACACTGGACAGAAATATAAACAAAACATTAAAGTGTTGGTACCATTTTTTATGAGCTGAATTAAAAGATCCCAGAAATGTTCCATAAGCACAAAAAGCTTATTTCTCTGAAATTGTGTGCCCAAATTTGTTTACATCCCTGTTAGTGAGCATTTCTCATTTGACAAGATAATCCATCCACCTGACAGGTGTGGCATATCAAGAAGCTGATTAAACAGCATGATCATTACAAGGGTGCACCTTGTGCTGGGGGACAATAAAAGGCCACTCTAAAATGTGCAGTTTTGTTGCGCAACACAATGCCACAGATGTCTCAAGTTTTGAGGGAGCGTGCAATTGGCACGCTGACTGCAGGAATGTCCACCAGAGCTGTTGCCAGAGAATTGAATGTTAATTTCTCTACCATAAACCGCCTCCAACGTCGTTTTAGAGAATTTGGCAGTACGTGCTACCGGCCTCAACCGCAGACCAAGTGCATAGCGTTGTGTGGGCGAGCGGTTTGCTGATGTCAACGTTTTGAACAGAGTGCCCCATGGTGGTGGGGTTATGGTATGGGCAGGCATAAGCTACGAACAATGAACACAATTGCATTTGATCGATGGCAATTTGAATGCACAGAGATACCGTGACAAGATCCTGAGGCCCATTGTCGTGCCATTCATCCGCCGCCATCACCACCTGTTTCAGCATGATAATGCACGGCCCCATGTCGCAAGGATCTGTACACAATTCCTGGAAGGTGGGCTGCATACTGACCAGACATGTCACCCATTGAGCATGTTTGGGATGCTGTGGATCGACGTGTACAACAGCGTGTTCCAGTTCACGCCAATATCCAGCAACTTCGCACATCTATTGAAGAGGAGTGGGACAACACTCCACAGGCCACAATCAACAGCCTGATCAACTCTATGCGAAGGAGACGGGTCGTGCTGCAAGAGGCAAATGGTAGTCACACCAGATAGTGACTGGTTTTCTGATCCACACCCCTACTTTTTTAAGGTATCTGTGACAAGCAGATGCATATCTGAAACCCAGTCATGTGAAATCCATAGATTAGGGCCTAATTAATTTATTTGAATTGACTGATTTCCTTATATGAACTGTAACTCAGTAAAATCTTTGAAATTATTGCATGTTGCCTTTATTTTTTTGTTCAGTATATAATCGGTTCGTATGTAGACCAACTGATAGCTAGCTGTAGTTCTATCTAATAAATAAACTATTTAGGCTAACAGTGATCACCATTTCAGCTTGAATAACAGTGAAGTAGAGGAAGATGTCATACACTAAGTTTCTGTCTCACCTGTTGGGTAAGTGGTCAGAGGTTTGAATTAAAAGTAAAGCAGAAAGGCATGACATTTTAGGCCGAGCCCTACCCATGCCGGTGACGTTCAGGCCCTAACCTACCCGCGCCCGATTGCTCAACCCGAAATTAGAAACACATTCACTTCCTCTGTTAGCATCCATAGCTGATCATCCCTGTCTGTTCCTCGCTCCCTGCGCTGCCCCATGCGCTCCTCTGCGTGTGTGAGTATCCATAGCAACAGCTCTGTTTGGTTTGCTTAGTGATGAGAGCGGTTCGCTGACGTTAGCTACTTTTCATCACTAAACTCCGACAAACAGCTATACCTTTTTATTGGTATGCTAATTTATGCAAATGTATATAGTTATAGTTGATAAATAAGTTAGTTATTAAATAATTTCAAGTTAGAATGGCCTGAACATGTAAAAGTTGGTTTGGTGTATCTAGCTTGAACTGTTCAAGAGTTACTGTTGGTGAGGTATTTTATTCTAATTTCTGCAAATGTATATATAGTGTATATTCCCACAGGGGGCCAGTATGAAAAATAAAATGAATAAAATAATGTATGCACTCACTAACTGTAAGTCGCTCTGGATAAGAGCGTCTGCTAAATTACTAAAATGTAAATGTAAATGTATATAGTTATAGTCTAACAGTTTTAAAGAATTTGAAGTTACGATAGCCTGAATGTTTTAATGTTGACCTGGTAGCTTAATTGGCCAAGGAGCAAGACCATTTTGAATAGCTACCTCTGTATTCCTATGGTTCTCATTCAAACTCATGTTAATTGATGCAAATAGTAAATGGTTATAGTTAAAAAGTATATATAGTATAAAAAATATTTTGACAAGCAGTCTAAGTAGGGTCAGTCTGAACATGTCAATGTTGGTTTGGAGTTGATAGCTTAAACGGTGAAAGATTAGCTACTTTAGGTCTAAACTTTAAAAAACATTTTTTTACCAATCTAGTCTATGGCCCCTTTTTTTTGCCATTGAAATGCATTGGTATCCATAGCAATGGCTCCGTTTGGGCTGCTCAAGGACGGGATATGAGAGAGCTGTTAGCTGATGTTAGCTAGCTGCTTTCCGTCACTCTAAACTCAAACAGCTGTAACATTTGATCAGTAGTAGATAATTATGTTCTGATTCCAGATTTGAATACCAGAGAAGTCGACCACAATGTCATACCCTCTAGGGGTTCTTGTCTAAAGTTTTGGAAAAGTGGTCAAAATTGCAGATTTGTGTCAAAAGTTGCATTGTTCACCATGAATGGATGTTGGAAGTCTGTGAGTTGATGATGTCACAATGGGACCTTCTGAATGTTGAAGAAATCCCATGAAAGTGAATAAAGGACAAAAGCTTAGTAGTTTAAAAAGTATTAAAGACATCAAAAAGTTGTATGCAAGCACACTGGTCCTGACCGCTCTGCAGGTTGATTTGACGTTTCTAGCTTAAACGGTGTAAGAGGAGTAGCGTTCCAAATAATAACAATACGAAGTATGATGAAGATTTAAAGTGGGGTCTCTTGCTTCGCAAGCCCCATTAATAATCACATTGGTAATAGGGGTGATTGCAGCGCAGCAAGCATGCAGCAAGTATATAATGGTTTATGTCGTCATTCGCAGTAACCTGTAACCACAATGTACTGGCTTTTCCTACTTTCAGACACTACTGGGGCTCAGGATTTACCTGGCTACCCAGACTCCTTGCTCTGGCCAAACCCTACGCCACGCACACGGACGGTCGTTTTTTCTCCGCAATGAGTCTTGATCAGAGTACTTCTCCGACCCTTCACCGAATGCGAACACATTCGAGGCCGTCTGATTGGTCCAGAAACCGATGGGTTGGGCCAGAGCCAGAACACACTTGATTAAAGCTGTGGTTAGAACATATCTTTATTGGCTTGAATATTCTCATAGCTTAGAGACGATCCAATCGCTGATTACTTTATTTTGCACAACACCCCTCGTGCCCCTCGTCACCACAAACGACTTCAATGATGGCAGTCTCAGACTAAAGTATGTAGCGAACGACAGAGCAGCGGAAAAAATTGCCTGTGTCCCATAAGATTTTAGACATATGTTGTTGTCGATACTAAGCTTCCCTATGGAGTACTTCCTGATGATTTCATTTCTCAGGATGGTGCGGAAGATTCTAAAGACAGGTTCCAGTAGCCTCTCTTCCCGTCCACACGCAGCACGTTCTGGAAGATCCTCTCCCTCGTCAGTGGTATTATATATACAGTGCATTTGGAAAGTATTCAGACCCCTTCCCTTTTTCCACATTTTGTTACGCCATCAGACTGTTAAATAGCCATCACTAGCCGCCTACCACCCAGTTACTCAACCATGCACCTTAGAGGCTGTTGCCCTATGTACATAGACATGGAACACTGGTCACTTTAATAATGTTTATACTGCTTTACTCATTTCATATGTATATACTGTATTCTAGTCAATGCCATCCTATTCAACTATTGCTGTATACATTGCATTCGGAAGGTATTCAGACCACTTCCCTTTATCCACCTTGTTACGTTACAGCCTTATTCTAAAATGGATTAAATAAATACAAATCCTCAATCTACACACAATACCCCATAATGACTATTCGAAAACAGGTTTTTAGAATGTTTTGCAAAAATAAAAAAACAGAAATACCTTATTTACATATGTATTCAGCCCCTTTGCTATGAGACTCGGAATTGAGCTCAGGTGCATCCTGTTTCATTTACATTTACGTCATTTAGCAGACGCTCTTATCCAGAGCGACTTACACCCTATAGCCAGTGGGATAACCACTTTACAATTTTTTTTTTTTTTTTTGGGGGGGGGGTAGAAGGATTACTTTATCCTATCCCAGGTATTCCTTAAAGAGGTGGGGCTTCAAATGTCTCCGGAAGGTGGTGAGTGACTCCGCTGTCCTGGCGTCGTGAGGGAGCTTGTTCCACCATTGGGGTGCCAGAGCAGCGAACAGTTTTGACTGGGCTGAGCGGGAACTATGCTTCCGCAGAGGATCATCCTTGAGAGCAATGATTTGGAAAGGCACACACCTGCCTATATAAGGTCCCACAGTTGACAGTGCATGTCAGAGCAAAAACCAAGCCATGAGGTCGAAGGAATTGTCCGTAGAGCTCCGAGACAGGATTGTGTCGAGGCACAGATCTAGGGAAGGATACCAAAACATTTCTGCAGCATTGAAGGTCCCCAATAACATTTTTAAATGGAAGAAGTTTGGAACCACAAGACTCTTCCTAGAGCTGGCCGCCTGGCCGAACTGAGCAATCGGGTGAGAAGGGTCTTGGTCAGGGAGCTCTGACAGAGCTCCAGAGTTCCTCTGTGGAGATGGGAGAACCTTCCAGAAGGACAACTATCTCTGCAGCACTCCACCAATCAGGCCTTTATGGAAGAGTGGCCAGACGGAAGCCACTCTTCAGTAAAAGGCACGAGTTTGTCAAAAGGAACCTAAAGGACTCTCAGACCATGAGAAACCAAGATTGAACTCTTTGACCTGAATGCCAAGCGTCACATCTGGAGGAAACCTGGCACCATCCCTACGGTGAAGCATGTTGGTGGCAGTATCATGCTGTGGGGATGCATCATGCTGCGGACTTGAACCCAATCCAACATCTCTGGAGAGACCTGAAAATAGCTGTGCAGTGAAGCTCCCCATCCAACCTGACAGAGCTTGAGAGGATCTGCATAGAAGAATGAGAGAAACTCCCCAAATACAGGTGTGCCAAGCTTGTAGCATCATACCCAAGAAGACTCAAGGCTGTAATCGCTGCCAAAGATACTTCAACAAAGTGCTGAGTAAAGGGTCTGAATACTTATGTAAATGTGATATCAGTTTTTAATAAATGTGCAAAGATTTCTAAAAACCTGTTTTTGCTTTGTCATTATGGGGTATTGTGTGTAGATTGATGCGGGGGGAAAAAACAATTTAATCCATTTTAGAATAAGGCTGTAACGTTTTGAAAAAGTCAAGGGGTCTGAAAACTTTCCCAATGCACAGTGCCTGTAAAAAGACTAGTAAAGTCACTAGGTAGGGGACATGTCAAACTGTAGAAGACATTCATATTAGTCTTTATTATATGAATGTTAATCTAAATGTTATTTTCAGTAGCATCATGTATGGAACATCTCTGGAGAGACCTGAAAATAGCTGTGCAGTGAGGCTCACCATCCAACCTGACAGAGCTGTGCTCGTGCCATGTCGATGTCCAGAAAGAGGTAATCGGTGCGCTCTTCTATGCGCCTTCCTCCTCCTCCTCTTTCCTATGTCCAGGTACGAGCAGAGCTGAGCAACGAGCTCTAGACCACCAACAGGCCTTGCTCACAGAGACACCTTCCCAGAGCTTCTTGAATTCTTAATTGCTGTTCTTGGGTTCACCACTGCACCAATACAAATACATAAAGGTTTTTTAAATCTTCACTAGTAATAACTTATACATTATCAATCCACTCTGGACCAAGCATCAATCCAGCTGAACTGAAAACACAAGCACTACACATAGAGGGTAGTGTTCAATGTGAAACCATCCGAACTGTTAAAAACACATGGACCGTGACCCTTGAACGAGATGGCCGCATTAACTGAGAGCTCCGCACAAGTAATTACCAAATCTTCATCTTACCTCCACTTCATGTTAAACCCCATTAGCTTTAGTCAAAAACGCCATGGCGCCTACAAAAAGCGACATTACATGTGACATTTTTACCCGGACTTGAGCAATAGCCGCGGAAAAAGAAACTGCTAGCTTCAGAAAAAGCTAGCGCCATTAGCCAGGAGCATGAGGACCTGTCCCTTCCCGAGGCCCAACAACTGCCAACCTCGTCCCGTCAAATAAATTATTTCTGAGCTGAGATCCTAATGTACAGAACTCAACATCAAACTCTCAGCTCAGTATAATAGGGAGCAAAGTGACAACCCTGGAAAATGCCCTGCCTGCCATCAACAACAAGATTGCCTCATCCGGGAGCCCTGCGTTGACGGCTGAGGGGAGAATCCTACCCATGGAAAACTCACTGGCAGACACCGTGGAAACAATAGCATCTGCTAAAAATAAAATGAAGCACCTGGAAAATAAAACAGAAGACCTGGAAAATAGGAATAACTGTGTTTTATTAAACCTGGCCTAAAAAGAAGAGGAAAACAGCCACTGATCTGCTACCTGCAAGACAAAATCCCAGAGTGGCTCCACCTATCCACCGACAGGCCCATAGAACTGGAGCGAGCTCACCAAGCACTGAGGCCTCCACCAGTAGTCAGACAGCTACCGCGCCCAATCACCATACGCTTCCTGAGATTCAACGACAAGGAACGAGTGCTACAGGTGGCGAAAATCAACACCATTACAGTGGGAAACGCCAAACTCACCTTGCACCATGACCTGTCAGCTGGAATTTTTATTTTTTTATTTGACCTTTATTTAACTAGGCAAGTCAGTTAAGAACACATTCTCATTTACACTGACGGCCTACACCGGCCAAACCCGAACGACGCTGGGCCAATTGTGCGCCGCCCTATTGGACTCCCAATCACGGCCGGTTGTGATACAGCCTGGAATCGAACCAGGGGGTCTGTAGTGACTCCTCAATCACTGAGATGCAGTGCCTTAGACCGCTGCGCCACTCGGGAGCCCAAATACGCAGAAAGCACCTAGTTTGAAGAGGTGAAGAAACACTTAATTGACCAAGGTATATTCAGGGGATTCAAATACCCAAACTAGTTCAGAATTCTTCACCAAGGAGCCCTGCGACACTTCAAAACTCACGATTACTAATTAGAAATACAATGAGTATAGCAATAGGCCTATCAGATTGTTTGCATACCTATTTTAAAAAAGAGCAGTCAGAGTGTACAATCATGGCCATCAGAACAGCAGATGGTCACATATGATCCAAATAAGATACAATTAACTTTTCATGATTTTTAGTGCAAAATATACAGATGCAGAACTCCATTCCTTCCTAGAGAGAAGCTCGCTACCAAAAGTATCAGAAACCAACCAAGAAGATCTCAACTCCCCCTCACTCCCGAGGAGGTCCTAGAGGCAATCATCTCCATGCCACCTAACAAGTTCCTAGGCCCAGACGGATTACCCAGAGTTCAACAAAGCTTATTGGCCCAAGCTTAGCCCTATTTTCATGCCAATGCTGGATTACTTTTTGCAAAAATGGACCTCTCCCAGACTATGTACACAGCCCGCATTACAGTGTTGCTCAAAAAAGACAAGAACCCTCTCTCCTACTCATCCTACCGGCCCATAACTTACTGGACTTCAACTACAAAATAATTACCAAATTGTTTGGCAAAAGACTAAACACTCTTCTTCCCAAAATAATAAAAGCGGACCAAACTGGATTCATTAGATGTACTCTTATGATAACATTCGCCATCTTTTTGATATTATAGATTAAGTAAATGCACAGAAGACCCCTGTCCTGCTGGATGGAGTGGAGCTTTCTGTTCCGTCTTAGAAAAGTTCAATATGGGCTCAAACTTTATTAAATGGATTAAGTCCCTATAGTCTCATCGAAAATGCCATGATGTCTGCTAATGGTCTGAACTCTGACAGATTCTCTTTGGGACGTGGCACAAGACAAGGATGCTCGCTGTCCCCTCTGCTCTACTTGTTGGGGGCAGAGCCTTTTGCAGAGTTTATAAGGAACAATCCAAGTATTATGGGTGTTCTGCAGGCGGCCTTCAGCACAAGATTTCGCTCTACGTGGATGATGTCTTGCTCTACAGATCCAACCCTGAGAAATGCCTCCCTCACATTGTTGACACCATTGCTCAGTATGGCAAGTTTTCAGGATATTAGATACATTTGAACAAATCCCTTGTTTGCCCTCTCAATCTTATACTCACCAGCTCCACGAAGGCACTCTGCCCGTTCCAATGGAAGACACAGGGGTTTCAATACCTTGGAATCTTCATAACACCAGCTCTGGATTGCCTTTTCAAAGAAAACTCTCCCCCACTCCTGGATCGAAACAAGAATGATCTCTGAACCTGGATCTCCCTCCCAATTAGCTTAGTCGTAAGAATCAATGTTATCCGCATGAACATCCTCCCTAGACTATACTGTTTATTTCAGATGCTCCCATGCTATCTCCCAGTTTATTTTTTTTTCAAAACAACCAACCAAAGCATCACCAAATATATATGGGGCAATAAAAAACCTAGGATCAAGTTCTCCACTTTATTGAAATCTGAATCTAAGGGTGGTCTTGCGCTTCCTGCCGTCAGTTGTTCTACTGGTCTGCCCAAATTCAAAACTCCCAGATATGATCTCACTCGCCTGTAGTATGCAACCCAGACTTGCCAAAAGCCCTGAGTGATACCAACTTTAATCTTTGGCATACTCTAGGGATCAGGACCTTTTAAGAACCGTTTCATCAGCACACAACTACACTGAAATCCTTTCAAGAGATCTGCAGTGAATTCAATGTGCCAAGATCCAATTTAAATTTCTTCAAATTAGACACGTAATTTCCTCATTTGCTTCCAAGGGGAGGTTTAGAGCTCAGTTCAATGAAGTTGAGACCCTTCTTGCTACAGCACAATCCATCAAAGGCAAAATCTCCCATATCTATAGACTCCTATCCGAGAACGTGGGCTCCTCCTTTACACCTTTGAAAATAATCTGGGAAAAGGACCTTTGTCTGACTATCAGTGAGGAGTTATGGGCGGATGTTTGCAACAGGGTATACTGCTCCTCTACTAATATAAACCTTTAAGAATCTATAAAACATATTTGTACAAATCGTATTACACCCCATTGAGACTCCATAGAATTAATACAGACATTTCTCCTGATTGTAAAAGATGTACCTCTGAAAGCAGTGGAGGCTGCTGAGGGGAGGACGGCTCATAATAACGGCTGGAACGGAGCAAATGGCATCAAACACATAGAAACCATGTGTTTGATACCATTCCACTAATTCTGCTCCAGCCATTACCACAAGCCCATCCTCCCCAATTAAGGTACCCACCAACCTCCTGTGTCTGAAAGTGGAACTTACATGCATGTATTTTGGCGTTGTAGAGAGACTGACAGATTCTGGCAATCTATACATACTGCTGCATTGAAAATATTAGATGTAGTTTGATATGACCCCATGGCTATCTTCTTAATGCTCAGCAGGACTTTGTTCTTGATCCAGACAGAGAAAATTTGTTTATGTCTATTACATACTTTGCTAAAAAATGTATTCTCCCACGGTGGGCTTCTAATTCCTGTCCTACATTTAAAATGTGAATTGACCAGATTGTTGACTTTCTTCCTCTTGAAAAGCTAACGTATGACCTCCGCGAGAGACAGCCCAGGTTCGATTGACTCTGGTCTCCACTACTCAACTATATTTCAAACTGGAAAGAGTGAATGGGTTGATTAAGGAAATGTGTGTATACACATTATGTGTAAAGTGCTGTAAAACGAATTATTTACTCATTGTCTCAGCGAAAGCTGGAAATTGCAAATTACTGATAGTGCTGCTGCAAATTTGTTGTTTGTTTTTATTTCTGCCACATCTGTGAATGTGGATTGTTTTGTTTGTTGAAAAACAAGAAAAAAAATTTTGGGAAGTATTTAAGTTATTTTTTTAAACACAGTTTTCATATGAAACCCCAGTAATGTGGAGCCATTCCGCTTACAACTAGGGCCAGGGGTTTTTCCCTGGTCTGGTCACGTGGTGAGGGAAAACTCCTGGCCCTGCCCATCATTACGCCGGGTGGAGTATTGTGAAGTTGCCCCTAGAAGCTGATCTTGTGTCAGTTTTTGGGACAAATGGTTAAGGTTAGGATTGGGGGAGAGGAAGCTGATCCTAGATCTGTACCTAGGGGAAACTTCACCCTGGAACACTCAGGGCAGCCCAACGTCCTGTGGCCTGCTGCCAGTGTGGACGAGGAGGTGCTTCTTCATGTGGCCGGACTGGGTGAAGCACTTCCCACAGTAGACACATTGAAACGGTTTCTCTCCAGTGTGCACCCTCTCATGCATCTTCAGCTGGTGGCTGTGGGAGAAGCGCTTGGTGCAGTGGCTGCAGCCGTACGGTTTCTCCCCCGTATGGACCCGCATGTGCCTCTGCAGGTGCGCCGGCTTGGGGAAAGGTTTTCCGCAGAGGCTGCACCGGAGCTGCCTCTTGGCCGAACAAGACGTTAGCTGTTGCGGCTGCTTTTCTATGCCTTTTGATGAAGAAGTGGAGCCTCTGTTGAAATTCGGGAAGGGGGCTGGCTTCCCTCTTTGGGGAACCTGGTGGAGAGTAACCCTTGGGTATGAAAAGCTGTTTGGGGTGGACAGTCCATTGAAATCTGTCAACTTGGATCCTACAGTTGTCCCTTGCTCTGTGTTTTGAGTGTCAGTGGGACACTTTGTCTGTCCAGACTCCATTCCCCCTCTTCCTCTGTTGTCCACAAGCTGCCTGCCCTCTGAACAGACCTCTCCAGATGTTGCCTCTTGGCCCATTATGCTCCATTCTGAACTCATATCTGCCTCCACTTTAATGGGAACCGAGTCCACCAGCACCACATCAGACACCCAGTCCAGAGAGCCCAAAGCAGACATGCAGACCCCAGAGTTACCAGGCGCCCCTCTCCTCTCTGGATGTTCAGACAGCCTCTTGGAGTCTGGCCCTGCATTGTGAGGAGCATTCACAGTTCGGTTGTCAGTCTCTTGGTTCTCTGTCCATTGAGAAAGGCTGTATGCTATGGGTTGATGGTCAGTTTCCCAGGTAACACAGTCAGCAACCCGATGGTCCTGTCTTGCTCTGTTGTATGGTGATGCTGGATGCTGGAACGTCTGGTTTTCAGGTTCTATATTGAGTGCGGTGTCTGGAGCTCTGTGTCTGTTACCCTGCTGGTCCAGAAGGTCTGTGGTTTCAATAGATGACGAAGCACCTGGTTCTGCCACAACGATCTTCTCACTGCTCTCACTGACCGGTTGGACAATCTCTGAAATGGGGCAAAGTAAAGCACAACATCAGCTTCCTGTAGTGGAGACTGATTCTTCTTTGCCTTATTTATTAGTTATGACTAAGAAGTTAATAAAATACTGCAATAAACATTGAAAGCTTTACTCAACATGGTGTAAATTGCATAGACTTGATAAGTTAAACGAAAATACCTTCCATTCTGCTAGTGTCAAGGTTCTCCATTTTGAGAAGAGGTTCCTCTTGCATATCTGCCATCTGTTTTGCATTCATCAGAAACCTTTTATTAGAAAAATATCCCACCACATTTGATTGTGATATGCCCCCA